ATGAAATATTGTCATTTGCGACAACATAGATGGCTCTTGAGAGTATCATCCTGCATGAAATAAGTTAGATGAAAAAGAACAAGAATCATATGATTTCATTCATATATGAGATATAAAACAAAAAGCCACAAATAAATGAACAGACGAATAAAAAACTTATTGACACAGATAACAGTATGATGGTCACCAGAAGGGAGAGGGAGTGGTAAGAGGTAGAAAAGGGCAAAGGGGATCACTGTAGTGACAGCAGGAGAGTAAACTTTGAGTGATGAGCACACAATGTGATATATGAATAAAGTATTTTAATATTATACACTTGAAACATATAATCTCATTTACAAATGTCACCCCAATAAATTTTATAAAACATAAATAAACAGAAAACACAGCTATAAGGCATATAGAAAACAAATGGTACAATCACAGTAGTAAGTCTCTCTTTATCAATAATTACTTTAAATGTAAATGGAATAAACTTTCCAATAAAAAACAGATTGGTAGAATGGATGAAAATTCATGATCCAAACTATATGCTGTCTATAAGAGACTCACTTAAGATCCAAAGACACAAATAGGTTGAAAACAAAAGGCTAGAAAGATAGTCAATGCAAATAGTAATTGAAAGAGAGCAGATATGGCTATTATATTAGACAAAACAGACTTTAAATAAAAAATTTTTATGAGACAAAGGACATTATATATTAATAAAAGTTTCACTACAGCAAGAAGATATAAGAATTATGAACATTTGCCCACCGAGTGGCAGACCTTTAAAATATATGAAGGGAAAACTGATAGAATAGAAGAAAGAAATGGACAGTTCTACAACATAGTTGAAGACTTCAATACCCACTCACAATAATGAATAGAAAAACTGGAAAGAATATACTTTAGAAAATAGAGGACTTAAATAACACAATAAACCACTGGATCTAATAGACATACACAGAGTACTCTACTCAACAACAGAATACATATTATTCTCAAGTGCCCATTGGATATTTTTCAGGATAGACCATATATTAGGCCACAAATTAAGTCTCGATGGATTTAAAAAGATAGGTATCATACAAAGCATCTTTTCTGACCACAACGGGCTGAAGCTTGAAATTAATAGCAAAAGGAAAACTGAAATTGTGGAAATTAAACAATACATGTCTAAATACTCAATGAATCAGAAAAGAAAATATAAGGGTAATTAGGACATACTTAGAGATGAATAAAAACAAAAACATAACATAGCATAACTTACGGGACACAGGAAAAGCAGCGCTAAAGGGGAAATTTATAGCTGTAAACACTTATATTAAAAAATAAGAAAGATTTCAAATCAACAGGTCATTATCCCTTATGAATATTGATGCAAATAAAAACCAAAATACTAGGAAACAATTTAGCAGCACATTAAAAGGATTATTTACCATGACCAAGTTCAACATATAAAAATCAATCAATGTAATGCTCCACATCTACAGAATGAAAGAAAAAACTCACGTGATCACTTCAATAGATACAGGAAAAGCATTTGACAAAATGCAACATCCATCATGATAAAAACACTCAATAAACTAGAAATATAATGAAATTTCATTATAATAAAAGTCATATATGAAAAATTCACAGCAAACATACTCAATGGTGAAAGAATTAATGCTTTTCTTCTAAGACTAGGAACAAGACAAGGATATCCATTTTTACCACTTCTATTCAACATAGTACTGAAAAGTTCTAGCCAGTGTAATTAAGCAAAATAAATAAATAAATAAATAAATAAATAAAATGAAATTTCATTATAATAAAAGTCATATATGAAAAATTCACAGCAAACATACTCAATGGTGAAAGAATTAATGCTTTTCTTCTAAGACTAGGAACAAGACAAGGATATCCATTTTTACCACTTCTATTCAACATAGTACTGAAAAGTTCTAGCCAGTGTAATTAAGCAAAATAAATAAATAAATAAATAAATAAATAAAATTCGCAAATGGAATAGGAAGAAGTAAAATTATCTCGTTTACAGATGATACAATCTAATATGTAGAAAATCCCAAGGATTATACACACACCCACACACACACACGCATACACACATAGTTAGAACTAATAAATGGATTCATCTAGGAAACAAGATACAAAGTCAATATACAAAAATCAGTTGCATTTCTATACACTAACAACTATCTGAAAAAAAAATTAAAAACACCTTCATTTACAACAGCATTAAAAAGAATAAAATACTTAGGAATTAACTAAGGAGGCAAAAGACTTATACAATAAAAACTGCAAAATATTGCTGAAAGAAATTAAAGAAGACATAAATTAATGGAAACACATGCCATGTTTATGGATTGGAAGACTTAATATTGTTAAAATGTCCGTACTATCTAAAGTAATCTACAGATTCAAGGCAACCCCTATAAAGATGCCAGTGATGGGTTTGATTGTTTGTTTTTTTCAGAAATAGAAATACTTCATCTTAAAATTCATATGGAATTTTAAGGAACACTGAATTACCAAAACAATCTCAAAAAAGAACTAAAGTAGAGGACTCCTACTTGCTAATTTCAAAACTTATTACAAAGCTATAATAATAAAACAGTGTGGTAATGGAATAAAGACAGAGATATCAACCAACAGAATAGAATAGGGAACCCCAAAATAAACCTGTGCATGTGGTAAAATGATTTTTGGCAATGGTCTCAAGATCATTCAATGGAGAAAGAACAGTCTGTTCAACAAATGTTTCTGGGGAAATTGGATATACACATGCAAAAGAATGAAGTTGAATCCTTATCTAACACCAGATACAAAAATTAACTCAAAATGGATCAAGGACCTAAATGAATGACCTAAAACAGTAAAACTCCTAGAAGAAAACATTTCATGACATTGGATTAGAAATGATTTTTTTGGATATGACACCAAATGCAAGGTAACAAAAGGAAAAATAGATAAATTGGACTTCATGAAAATTAAAAAAAATTGTACATCAAAAGACACTATCAACAGAACAGAGTAAAAAGGAAACCCACAGAATGGGAGAAAATATTTGTAAATAATATATCTGATAAAAGATTAATATCTAGATTATATAGAGAATTCCTAAAACTCAACAACAAAAACCTAAACAACCTGATTCCAAAATGGGCAAAGGAATTGAATAGATATTTTTTCAAAGAGTTACAGATGGCCAACTGACATATGAAAAGATGCTCAACATCACAAGTCATTAGGAAAATGCAAATCAAAACTACAATGAGATACCACCTCATATCCATTAGGATGGCAACTATCAAGAGAACAGAAAATGAATACTTTCAAGAATGTTGAGAAATTGGAACCCTTGTACACTAGTGGTGGAAATGTAAAATGGTACAGTCACTATGGAAAACAGTATGATAGTTACTCAAATAATTAATTAATAGAATTACCATACAATCCAGTAATTCCATTTCTGAGTGTACTCCCAAAAAGTTGAAATCAAGGCCTCAGAAATATTTCTACACCCACATTCATACTAGCATTATTTACAACAGCTAAACCATGGAGGCAACTCAAGTGTCCATCAATGGATGAATGAATAAACAAAATGTGGATCTACAGGCAGTGGAATATTACTCAGCCTTAAAAAGGAAGGCTATTCTACAATACATTACAGCATGGATGAACCTAGAGGACATGATGCTAAATGAAATAAGCCAGTCACAAAAAGACAAATACTCTATGACTCCACTTATGCAAAGCAGTTAAGAGTAGTCAAAACATCAGTATGGAAAGTATAGTGGTGTTTGCCAGAGGCTAAAGGCAAAGGATAATGGGGAGTTATTGTCTAATAAAACTCTATTTAAACAGTTTCATTTTCACAAGATGAAAAGAGTTATGGGGATGGACAGCAGTAATTTTTTTCACAATAATGTAAACGTATTTGATACCACTGAACTTTGATACCACTACACTTTAAAATAGTTAAGATGATAAATTTTATGTGTATTTTACAACACACACACACAACAAAAAAAAACAAACAAAACAAAAACCCCAAAAGTAGCTTCTGCCACTTGTTCACTGGGGGCACCTGGCTATTAACCCAAAAAGTACCCAATGGTTTCTACGTGATTAGACTGAGGTGGAGAAGAAGGCTGCAAAGCCCTCCCACTCCCCATAGAGCAGCTGTGAGGGCTCCTGGCACCTCCACAGGCCCCACATCATGGGCTAGAGACCACCTGAATCCAGTTGGCAAGTGCCTGACAAGAAAAAATTGTGAAATGTTCTAAATTAAAATACAGTGGCCAGAGGGTGAGAGAGACAAAACAGCCTGTTAATAGCTGTGGACCAGCTCTGACGAAAGACTGCTCACATTTCTGTGTATCTATTGTAATTTAGAATTAATTTTTCCAGGTGGCTATGTCTAAAATTATCCAAAAGAGAATAGCCAGGCACCATGGATCCCCCAGAGTCTTCGCTTATTATTTTCACAAGAGCTACCAACGGTGCTGCGGACTCTGCCACAGACTCTGTTGCACTTATTCCAGAACTAGCCCTGCTTCACATTCTCCCATCCCCTTTCTCTATAGCTAATGTAAATTCCTTCAGAATGGCTTACATCTTTCTCACCCCTACTTGTTGTATAAAGCCACTTGCAAACTCCTAGATGTCAGACACGTTGTCTTTTCTACCTCGCGATGCTGCTTGTGGTTTAGACTTAACGCCCCAGGACCAGTCTTTCCCAGCAATGGCCTAATAAACCCTTGCTTTGAAAAAGACTTTCAGCCCTGGAAGTTAAAATTCTTTTAACATGCCCTCTGCACTGCCAAGCAGGCCGTAGGAAAGACGGAAGTGGCACAGCTGCAGCCAATGCCCCTCCCCCCACATATCACAGGCAGCCATACAGTCCCCTGAGTAGGGTGCTGGGGTCCACCCTCCTAGGAGGCGGAGTTAGGCAAGATCCCCTCCTCTCACAGGCTCCCTGGTTTTTCATATGTGGACTTCCGCTTCCTACGGGCCACACCTCCTCCAACCAGGCGGCCAATCCCAGCCGGCTCTCGCCCAGTTCTCAGGGAGAGGGGCAAAGTCTGGAGGCTGCTGGAAGAGCTTGATTTTTGAACCCAGGGGCAGGTAAGGCACATGCAGGGAAGTGGGGGGGTACCCTGCCGCTTTTATAATACCATCGGGCAAGGAGTTTGGAAGATATAGCCGCGGGAGACGGGCTCCTGGGCTCCTGCCTAGGGCCTGCTGAGCCTCAGCCTGGAGCAGAACCCGCTTCCCCGCCCCCGCCGATACTTCTTGACTTCGCCCCGCAGGGGCCTGACCGGCAGGGAATCACGATGTTTTCTCCCCAGGAGGTGCTTTCTTAAGTAAACGAAAGACAGACTATTAAAAAAATAATTAAACTTGCATTTCATTTACAAAATGTTTATGGTTTCAGTTTTTAGGTAGACATAACTGCTGCTGCGTCCGTGTATGGTGTACAGTTTAGGCAGCTGGGCTTGAGCGAGTAGTGCTGTGGAGATGTCTCCATCTTAGGGTGCCGACTGGGCTGTGGGAATCTGAGGACGTTCCAGGGGTTTGGAATTCTCCTCTGCTGCGAGTCCTGCACAAGACAATTAACCTCTCCTGGCCTCACTTTCTTCTTTGGAAACTGGAAAATATTACGTATTTCATAGACGTTGTTGTGAGGGTTTACATGAACTACGTGTACTCTTTAAAAAAACTAAGACTGAGCACCCAGCAACAACAGGGTTTTATACACAGATATTTCAAAGTACTGATACCCCCAAATGTTCCAAAGAGATTAAGGTAGTGTCCAACAAAACCATTTGTTGGTTTTGGTTTTACTTTACAAATATATGTAAAGTAAAACCAAATATATGTAAAGTAAATATAACCAGATTTTGGGAGCAGACATTATAAGAACAGAAGATAATTGATGGAGGAAGGGAAGAAACTGTGTCAGTGCTGGCTAATAGAACTTTCTGTGATAATGGAAATGTTTTATATTTAGTTAATTTTCATTTAAATAGCCACTGTATTGCGCTACCTTATAGGACAGTACAGGTCTTTATTTGTAGTTGAGGATCAAATTTGTCTCTAGGAAGGTAAACTTAGCTACATAGTGCTTACTATTTGAAAGTAAATCACACTAATAACTTCATTCATTCATTTATTTATTCCTCAAATATTAATGACCTTGAAGAAAGCAGAACCTTTCTTGAAAATTAGCTGTAAGGACAATTTTCTGTGAGTTTCATTATTAGAGCACTTTGGTATATTGCCACGTGAAAATATTCAGCTGAGGAATTGGGGCTGGGAGGGATGGAGTCAGTGAATACGGTATAATTTATAACTTTAGAGTTTAACAGTACAGATGTTAATTAACCTTAAAGTAAAATTAAAAATATATAGATAAGCAAAAAGAAATGAAATCACTAAAATTTTCACCAAAGACAATTACTTTTAATATTTCAATATATGTAATTCCAGACTTGTGTCCCATGTAGTCATTTCATTTTCCTTGATAGGCCCCAAAGTAACCAACTCCCCCATGGAAGGGAAATCTAGTCTGGGAGTGAGGGTCACTTTTACTGTTATCCTTGGACCTCTCAGGCCAGCACCTGGCCTCATCTGAGAAGGTCACCTTCTCCTTAATCCTTCTCCATAATTCTGCCAGTGGCCTGGCTTTGGGGAAAATGATTATAGGCATCTGTGGGAGCATTTTAGAGAGGAGGAGAGAGGAGAGAGGTTGGTCATATCTGTGGCTCATTCTGCCAGATGAGTTTCTCAACCTTGGCACTATTGTTATTTGGGGTGGATTATTTTTTGTTATGGAGGTGGGGTGGGGCTGTCCTCTGCATTATAGGATGTTTAGCAGCACTTCTGGCATACTGCTCCACGTCATGACAATAAGTTGAGAGCCACTAGGTTTGTGGAAATCACCAAATTATTGCTGATGTGCTCTAAACAGGTTGATATTCCAATTTGTGTGTGGGAGAGACTGAGCTCTAAAGAGAGGCATAACTTAAGGAAGCTGTTTACTCTGGCTGTACCATTAATTTATGGTGAGATTTTGGTGGATAAATCTATCAGGATCCTAACAGGAAAACAAAAAGGTGAAAATAATTTTAAGGGAGCTCTTTATAGAAGAATGGGTAGTATTCAGGGGACCAATAAGTGATGGTGAGGCATCCAGGGAAGAGCATCATTGAGGCTCTATCCCCACCCTGGTCTGAAGGGATAGGTAGTAGAACTTGGTACTAGAGTTCAGGGGTAGGGGGCAGAGATTTGGAGCACTGGAAGAGGAGCTGCCCTGCAAGGCTCCTGTAACCTTGGCAGAAGGCACCCATTGCCAGAACAGCAGTCCAGAGGGATGGGGCAGGTTGGGGGTAAGTACACTGGCTCTTTCCCCAACTCTGTGCACTGATCTATACTGGCCAAATCCAAGTGGAAGGAGCCTAGATGATGCAGCCTGGGGAGGTCAGCCAGCATTCTGAGGGTGTGGGAGGAGGACAGATGGCGAGTCAACTGTTAGTAAGTGATCTAATATCTTCCTGACTTCAGAGTGAGGGTTAAGAGATACCGTGGTAGTAGAAGGAGATAGGCACAAATTGTTTTTGAAAAATAAAGCACATATACAAGTAGGCCACTGCTGTTTGACATCTGGTTCTGTTCTGTTCAGTAATGTCAAGTCATACTCTTACTTCGGGGTTAGATTTTTTTCAGTTTTATTGAGGCATAATTGACCAAAAATAATTCTAAGATATTTAAAGTACACAGTGTGACGGTATGATAGATGTGTACATTGCCAAGACCTATTCAAGGAGCTTGCCTCTTACGTGTTCTTCTAGGACAGCAGTCCCTAATTCTTTTGGCACCAAGGACCAGTGCTCTTATGAGAGTCTAATATCTGAACATCTGAGTGGAGCTGAGGCGGTGGTGCTAGCACTGGGGACTGGCTGCAAATACAGATGAAGCTTTGCTCACTCTCCCACTGCTCACCTCCTGCTGGGTGGCTGGTTCCTAACAGGCCACGGACCTGTGCTGGGGCTTGGGGACCCCTGTTCTAGGAGATTTATGGTTTCAGATCTTATGTTCAGGTCTTTACCGTTTAGCATTGATTTTTGTATTTGATTTAAGAGAGGTGTCAAGATTCATTCTTTTCCATGTGGCTATCTAGTTTTCCAAATACCATTTGTTGAGGAAACTATCCTTTCCCCCATTGTATATTTTTGGCTCTTTTGTCAAAAAATAATTGACCATGTATGCACATGTTTGTAATAGACTTTGAAATCAGGAAGTGTTGCCTCTGGCTTTGTTTTTTCTCATGGTTGTTTTGGTTACCCATAGTCTTTTGTGGTTCCATACATATTTTTAAATTTTTTCTATTTCTGCGAAGAATACCATTGGAATTTTAATAGAGATTGCATTGAATCTGTAGATTGCTTTGGGTAGTATGGACATTTTAATAACATTAATTCTTCTAGTCCATGAATGCAGAATCTCTTTCTATTAATTTGAGTCTTCTTCAGGTTTTTTCATCAATGCCTTATAGTTTTCAGTGTTCAGATAATTTCACCTCCTTGGTTAAATATATATATATTTAGTTAAATATTATGCCTCAATATTTGATACCATTTCAAGTGGATTGTTTTCTTAATTTCTTTTTCTGATATTTTGTTGTTGGTATATAGAAATGCAAGTAATTTTTACATATTAATTTTAATTCAATCTGCAACTCTGTGCCTTTTTATTGGTAAGTTCAGTCCATTTACATGTAGGGTGATTATTGAAATATGAGGTCTTCTTATAGCCATTTTATCTTTTGCTTTCTGGTAGCTTGGTGTTTCCATTGCTTCCTTGTCCTTGTGTTTGTTTTCTTTATTTTCATTGGCTTTTGTGGATTTTCCCTCTGGTCATTCTTGTTGTATGTTATATACTTCAGTTCTGAATCTTTGGTGTGTGGTTATCATTAAGAATATGTAAAGGATAGTTATATATATACAGTTGTCCATTTTCTTCTGTGCATGCCTTATCTCCATTACTCTTTGCGACTTTGGATCTTTGAATCCTCCCCTTTTCAGTCATTGTTGTCTCAATTTGTCTCTATGTATGCTGAACATTCATTACTATCTTGCTATAGCAAATCTCTTGTTGTTGTTTAAGCTTATATTGCCCTGTTCCTAGTAAGAGTTGCAGTCTTCTGCTTCTATCAGTCTGCTAGTCACCTTACTCCTAATTATGTATTTTTTTTTTTTTTTGTCATTTTGTTTTAGGGGAGCTGACCCCTTTCAGTATTTCTTGTAGTGCAGGTCTTGTAGTGGCAAATTTCCTCAATTTTTGTATGTCTGGAAAGGTTTTTATTTCTCCTTCATATCTAAAGGAGAGCTTAGCTGGATGCATTATTCTTGGCTAGTAGTTCCTTTCATTTAATAGTTTGAATATTTGATTCCACTTCTTTCTGGCTTGTAAGGTTTGTGCTGAGAAGGCCGAGATAATTTTAATACAATGTGTCTTGGTGAGGGCTTTTTTTTTTTTTTTTTTGAGATAATTGAGTGTTCTGTTGACTTCTTGAATCCCAAGCTCCAGCTCATTCCTTTGATTTGGGAAATTCTCATCAACTATTTTTCTGGAAATGCTTTCTAATTCCTGCTCCTTTTCCCCCCTTTCGAGAATGCCCGCTATTCTTGTGTTTTCTCTCCTGATGGTATCTGCTAATTCTTTTCTTTCTCTCATTATTTTTCATTCTTTGATTTTTCTGTTCTTTCTTCTGATTTATTTTTAGATTTCTGTCTTCAATATCACTGATCCTTTCCTTCCTTTGGTCAACTTTATTTCCTAAGCTTGCTATTTCATTTTTCAACTTTTGCAGTGTGTTCTTTATCTCCAGAATATTTGGTTCTTTTTGAGGGTTTCAGTCTCCCTGCTAAAGAACTCATTCTGCTCATCTAGTTGTTTTTTCAGTTCCTAAAATTGTTGATATGATTCGTTTCGGATCTCACTGAGGTTTTTCAGAAGTTCCATCCTGAATTCTCTGTCATTTAAGTCACATATTTCTATGTCTGTAAGCTTATTTTCTGGAGATTTTTCTCTTTCTTTCTGAGATGCCTTGTCACTTTGGTTGT